GGCAATTGATAAAACTAGAATAGTGAAGCGAATAGTGCGAATAGTGCGAATAGTCGACAAATAGTACGAATAGTCTGCGAATAGTCGACGAATAGTGCGAATAGTCCGCGAATAGTCGACGAATAGTACGAATAGTCCGCGAATAGTCGACGAATAGTACGAATAGTCCGCGAATAGTCGACGAATAGTACGAATTGTCGAAGAATAGTGCAATAGTGACTTTGCAAGGCTTTCCACCGTGCTGCAGAACTAAATTTACCGAAGCGGGGCGGGGGGGGGGGGCTCTATTGGCAAACATGAAATCGTGACATTCGTTGATGTCAATGACGTCATACGTAATCGTTAGAAATTACGGGACCACTGAGTTTTAACAAATATTTCAGGAAGTAGAATGACAATCACTAGAATGACGTTTTCCACTGGGCGAATTTGTTCGCGCGAAGCGACAAGTAAAGCCCGTTCTCCACTACGCGAATTTGTTCGCGCGACGCGAAGCGAAAACCGAAGTCCGGCAACGTGATTGGTCGGCGAAAAAATTCGCGGCGAAAAAGTAGGATCGCTTCCTACTTTTTATCTGTTCGCGCGAATAAATTCGCCTAGTGGAGAACGGGCTTAAGAGTAGGCTGATCCAACTTTTTCGCGGCGAATTTTTTCGCTGACCAATCATATTGCCGAAATTTGGTTTTCGCTTCACGCGAACAAATTCGCCCAAAAACGGGCTTAAATAATAAATCGATACCTTCTCTTGTTTCGTGATGTAAATCACGTTTTCCAAGCACACACAATCACTTATGCCCTTTGAAATCTTCAGTTACAACGTCACAACTTACAAGTAAAATTCCTATAAAATTCCATCAGTAAAATTCATGACTCGCTCATATGGTTACCACTTACCATCAGGAATGATTATAAATTTAAAAAATATGAAATATATTTCCTGACGATGACTGAATTTTAGTCGAAACACGTACGTTGGTCAAATTTAGCAAAATTTCTCCCACTCGTGCGGGCTCGTATTGTCAGCGGACATCTTACAGAAAGTGGGCAGTTCTGTGCAAAATGCAAAAGTTTCAATTTTTCACAAGTCCGTTGAAAATGCGAGCCTGCGGTACTGGGAGAAAATTTGCTGAATATGACCAGCGGGAAAGCTACAATATTAAAAAGTTTATTTTCGAAGTTACCGTTGTTTTATATTTTATTAAAATACTCAGTGGTTCCCATAATTTTTACCGGTTACGTAGGACGTCATTGACGTACGTCAACGAATGTTTTCACGATTTCATGTTTAACAATTAGTCGCCGAAGGCGAGGTGATTACAAGCCTATATTCACTGAGCCGAAGGCGAAGTGAATATAGGCTTGTAATCACCGAGCCTGAGGCGACTAATTGTTTTAGTATAAATTTCCAGGTGTTTACAAACAATAATCCACACAACTTTATAAAAATTCACTTCAAATAAATGTAGTTTCGCTATAAATAGTTTGTTTACAAAATTTAAATCTCAGACACGGCTTTGTGTCGCGTTGCGACTAAGCCAGTTTTTTTCCAAATAAAAGCACGTAAAGTTTAATATTTTACCTTGAAATATTTTTAAACCATATTTTGTAGCTTGTTTGGGTTTTTTCGGAATGCTATCTTCTTTAATTTTGGCAATTTCCTCCTCTGTTACTACGGCAAAACGAGCAGCCATTTTGAAAAAAAAGCTATAGTCACTGACCAGTGACTATCACTTCAGAGACAGTGAATTTTAACCAATCAGAATGCAGAAAAATCAATAGTCATCTGGAAATTTATACTAATTGTCAATAGAGCCCCCCCCCGGTAAATTTCGTTCTACAGCACTGCTGCAAAGCCTTGCAAAGTCTCTATTGCACTATTCGTCGACTATTCGTACTATTCGTCGCCTATTCGCGGACTATTCGTACTATTCGTCGACTATTCGCGGACTATTCGTACTATTCGTCGACTATTCGCGGACTATTCGTACTATTCGTCGACTATTCGCGGACTATTCGTACTATTCGTCGACTATTCGCACTATTCGCTTCACTATTCTAGTTTTATCAATTGCCAAATGTGGTGCCCGCCTACAAATAAAACTTTCGGCGTTTCCGCCTACATGCACAAGTAAAGTTATATTTAGCACGCTACACATTTTCCTGTCGGCCGCCAGTTGGTCTGTATATTAGGATCAAAACTGCGTTTTAAAGCCTTCAAAATAAAATATTTGAGCTCAAAATACTATCAAAATGAGGAGAAAAGTGAGACGAATCCGCTGGCATACGGCCAAAAACGAGAAAACCAACAATTCCGAAGTTATCAAGGATCAAACTGACTGCATTTTTAATTAGTTCAATAATTTTGAGCGATTTGTGAACAATACAATTTCGCTTGTCTTTCAAAGGCAATAAATCGCTAGAATACTGTTGTTTAGTAATACATTTGACATCTGTGAATATAATTTCTTACGCTGATTCGAACTGTAGTATTTTTGTCCTTGTTTGACGCATAAAACCAGAGATAAAGCTTAGCAAGTAGACAAACTCACAAACAAAGTCACAGGCAGAATATAATGCGGTGCCAAAAATGGCACGGGCACCGCAAAGTGAGAAATATTTAGATGTCGGCCATAATTCTGTTTGCATATTATTACTGTAAAGTCATTAGACAGCAACTTCTGGGGCACGTGGCCAGCACGCAGTCGACTTGAACTCGTCCTGTCAGGTGACAACAATTTCTTGCAAGCTGTTCATTTTTGTTTCATTTCGGTTTTCGAAGGCGGTTTATTTTGTTTTGTATTAAATATACAACGAAAAATGGGTAGAAAATTGAATTAAAAGCAAAGAAAAAAGATCTGGACTAAAGCCACCATTCAAGGGATTAAGCCGTGGAAAATCATCCATGCGAAAACAACAAAATTTACTGTCGTGGCTTGTAATATATAAACAAACGCCAAACAACTTCCTTATAGATGCATCAATCCTATCAGTTCATACATTAATCATTATGCGAATCAACATATTAAAATCTTAATTATCATTTGTCATATCAACTTTGCACTATCCTTGGGATCTCTGAGTTTTATATGGTTATGTCTTGTTCCCCACACTAAAGCGTGCAGGTTTACTTACAAAAAATGTATAAGTGCTGCACCAAAACCTAAAACATGCAGGGATAGAGTAGAGTACTCGAAAATGGGGGAGGTACAGTATATGATTGACCTGTAACCTTGGGGGGTTCGGGGGCATGTTCCCCCGAGAAAATTTTAAAATTTGAACCTCGGAAATGCTATTTCCTGCGTTTTCAGCTATGGATTCGTCCAACAACTTTGCTGTACTAAGCCTAAGGAACTCTTACTGTCCTTTATTTTAAACAAGGGAAAATCACAAAATGAGCTTTGATTAATATGTAATAAAACAAGATTTCAATAATGCGATTTTTAACTGCCTTCCGAAACAACAATGTTCCACCAAATATAGCTCTGTAACTTTTCAATCGTTCATACAGATAGCTTTGTTGGGAATCGGGTTGCATCCTCTTCAGACTCTCTAAACTGGCATTTTCGCATTAAAATCATCGTATATACAGTACATTCAACTTGCATCCTGTAGATGGGCCTTTGAAGCTTTAAGAGTTTGGAGCTATGTTATCAAAAAATGCACACAGACTCAATCATCCAAAAATACTTTTTCTACCATGCATATTAGATAGTATGTATATAAAATAACTTATAAACTTGTACATATCTTAAGCCCTGATTTTCTCGGGATTTGCCAGGGAGAGCCACTGGCTATCGTATGTTATTGGCTTCAAAGGCGGTAGAATCCCTGTGATGTTGTCCACTGTTCACCTGTGTTTTTTTAAGCAAATGTGCCTGCTCAAAAATGCAAAATCTTGCAAGCCTGTAGACACAATACTGAAGTGAAGAACGTCAGTAGATTTACATGTAGGAATTTTTTTTTTGAGCGCTTTCTTTTGCATGATATTTTTTTCTCGATTGTATGCTGCATGATGTTTTTTTTCTTTCTCCTTGGATTGCAGGAATTTTTTTTTCGAAATCTTCCACCCCCCCCCCCTCTCAAAAATGGGGGCGCTGTCACGTCATGTGCAATGGGTCTATAGACCGTATGCATAATGACGTCACGCTTGATGCACGCGAGGAATGCTGGTCTTAGTAGTCATCGCACGGGAAAGTGAAACAATTCAAAATGGCCATTATCGACATTTTCCCGGGCGATGACTACTAAAACCAGCATTCCTCGCGGGCATCAAGCCTTGTGACGTCATTATGCATAAGGTCTATTGGCTCGCGATTCATGAGAATTAGGCCCGTTTCAGACGGCGTACTCTTCATGTGCCGAACTTAATTGTATTAGACGCGACACTGGAGCGACACAAGAACGACAGTGATTCAAACAGCGTACCGAATACAATGTTAGCGAGCTTAAACGGACGTGAGATTGCCGAGGGGGACTGGATTAAAAACTGTGTTTGTGTCAGTTTGTGGTAATCTTCAACACATATGACAAAACATAAGATTTTTAAAGTTTTTTTCTTCCTTATGCGAGCCTTATCACAAAAACGCCGCTTGCTTAAGCTCACTAATATTGACAAGGTTGGGGCGCATTCTCCTGCGAAACCTAAATAAAATTCAGAAACAAATAAGTCTATTTTTAAATTACAAGGGCTAATCTAATACTAGAACAAATTTTAAAACGTTGTCCTGTGCAGTGTCAGAATAATATGAAACTAGTTTTTCACATCTCTGAGGAGGATTCTGAAATAGGATGTTAATGTTCACGAACATAACTGTAATTGTGTAATATTTTAGGCATCAAACGTGGAGTATGTGATTGTGATGAATGCAAATGTAAGCCCGGCTGGCAGGGTCCAGCATGCAGTTGTCGAAATATAACCACGGCGTGTATTCAGAATAATGTAAGTACAGTTATATTAAAAATTTCTCGTCCTGATAAAGATGTTAGTGACGATCTTGTCAACTACTGTAGTTCATGTGAGCGCTTTGACTGATTGTATTCTCTTGGAACAGCAAGTATACATTGCCGTTATGAACGCGGACACAAGCAAGTTATTCGTGTGGTAACGTTTCTGACACGTGTCATAAATACAAAGGGTTGAAAGGCCACTTGCATGGGTTGTAACTGAGGCCGCGTTTACACTATAACGCTACGGCTAGCATTCCATTAATTCACTGCGTTTCTTAAGTATTGCGTTTACACTATATTAACAAGGTGATTTACCGTAGCGAACCAACGACAGACCACTACGTTTGGCACTCCGGATGCAAATCAATACGCTACGAGTAACTTTCCCGTGGTCTCATAGTGTAAAGATATACGGTTAGCAGTTCTTATAATTTTTAATTGCAGGTCACGTGTTCAGGTCGTGGTCAATGTGAATGTGGACAATGTGTTTGTGAAAAAAAGTATTCTGGAAAGTTCTGCGAGATATGTGACGTAAGTATTACGGGATTGTGACTTTGGGCTAGCAATGGAGACCAATCCGTTAAACGTCACCCAAGTGGCAGCACATTCCAACTGGATAGAGTATCGTTTTGAATTCAATCATCCAAAACCTGAATCTTTATGAGAAGATATTATTCACCTATCGAATACACCTTTTCGATAATTACGTCATGAGTACTTTCTTGGTTTGGGAGCCTCGCTCTCATGAACCAAGACGAAAGGCCATTGGCTCACGATTCATGAGAACGAGGCTCCCAGGCAAGAAGAGATTTGTGACGTAATTAACGAAATGGTGTATTGTTATGTCTTTAGGTAAACGTCTTTGTTTCTGTAGCTTGAAGGATACAGCTTTCCACAACTCTTGTATCGAGAATGTTTTATGCGCTCTATAATGAGGCGCCATGTTAGTGTGACTACATTAGATATTTACTAGGGCCCAGTGATTATCATTTTCCTTAATCGCATGTGAGAAGATTGCTGCCGCAATCGTACACCGCAGGTTTTTTCTGTGGAACACTTATGAACTGATTGACAGAGCTATCCAATGTAGATAAATATTCTTTAATTTAGCTTATACGTGTTGTTTAGTTTACAAATAAAGTACGATCTAATTAAATGTCAGTGGATATAACTGCCACTCAGAAATGTTTGTTTTTAATTTGTTAGGGTTGTATAAAAGGCTGCTTACATTTTAAAGATTGTGTGCGTTGTAAGATATATGAAACTGGACCACTGGTTGGAAAGTGTGACAAAAGTTGTAATGCTACAATAACCAGAGTTGATAGTGTCGAATCATGTAAGATATTTTTTTCTTCTCAGACTGAGGGATTAAATACCCGCGAGTTTAACTCAGCTTGTCATTGGCCCGACTTTAATGGCTTGACATTGGCCCGAGATTAACTCAGCTTGTCATTGGCCCATAGAAATAATAGACATAGAATGCGTGCTAATGACGAATCATGTCTCCACTTTTTCAGGTGCATGCCCTTTTGAATGCGCCATTTTGAATTTTGGCCAGGAGTGCAAACTACAAAGTATAAACAAAGCTAAAACTACGTTTTCATCGTCAAAACGTTTTGTCTTGTTGTCTAATTTGTAGTTTGGGGATAGATTTTGAGTTCCTTGAAGGCACAAACTGACAAAGCAAATGTGCAGTTACAAAACACTGTGAAAACAGTGAAAATCGTGCAGCCTTTTAAAAGCAAAGTAGATTCCCGAAAATATAAATTACTCATAAAACATTTTTGCATGCTCTGAACGCAACTGTTTTGCTAATATCGTATAAGATTACAAAATGATAGTTCTTTCTTCGTCGGGTTTCGTTTTTCTGCAATGTAAACGAAGTGTTTTCATGTTCTTAAAAAAATTTATAGTTGTCGATATTAAAACTGTAAATTGCCTAAAAATAATCGTCGAAAAGCATGGTTTCAAAAGCGTTGAGCAAGCAACGTAGAAAAATATGAAATATAATTGTGTAAGTTTAAAAAGATTATTGAACTCCATTTATATTGTAAAAGAGTTGAAATATTTGTAGAACATACCTATTGAGTTTGTCTTGTTCTTTTGTGTTTTGTTTTGGCTTGCACAACAACATAACGTTGAAAATTTATTTTTAAACGACGATTTCTGCATATATTCTGTTCAGAACTATTGCTTTTCGTAAAAAAACCCACTGGAATGGGTTTTTAGACACTTTTCCTTAGTTTACCAAACTTTTTTTCCATTTTAAGTCCCGATATAAAATTTTTTGCAAACTTTTCAGTTGAAAAAATAATTCGCACTCCGTGCAACCGCGCGAAATTCCCTGCTTCAGGAGTCTGGGACCAACCAAAATGCCCTTTTCAATGCGCCATTTTGTGGAGACAAATTTTTTACTGAGAAAAGATAGGAGCACGCATTCTATGTCTATTATTTCTATGCATTGGACTTATTCTAGAGATGTACATCATCCGTTTGAAGGATAATCCATCATAAACAGAACAAGACGAGTGATCTGTCAGACGAACTAATGGCCTTGTTTGTGGACGGCTGATCCATCTACATGGACAAACTTGAGCGAAGAAAAATAGTTCCCCTGATAATTCGTCTGTGTATATAAACGAGGACAAACAGACGGGTCATCCGTCAAGAAAAACTGCCTAGTTCGTGTGACGGATCATTCGTATTAGTTATGTGTGGCACTGATTAGCAACTTGTACAAACAATATAAACATGAAACAAATTATATTTCAGATGAAAATCGAGGTACGACTTGTGTTGAAATTGATGATGATGATGATTGTACATTCTCGTATGTCCTCAATGAAGGAAGTGAAAAAGTTCAAATTTATGCCGAAGAAGAGAAAAGTAAGAATCGTTGTTTTTCTTTGCTTTCAGGGAATAAATATTAAACCAAAAAAGCCGTTTCAGTAAAGTCGTAAATTTACGGTTTTACTTTACATATTGAATATTCGGTATAGCTTATCAATTAGAGGTACTTTAAAATGTCTTGGCAACATGAAACTTTTTATCCATATTTAGCAAAATAACCGTAAATATAACAATACTTTCTGAGATAGTCAGACGTTTTAATATATTTTGTAATGCACCTTGTGTAACAGTATAAACAGTATAGTTTTCTAATTTGTTCTAAAGTGTGAAGATTTGTTCTAATTGCTGTTCTAATTGCGGATTAATGGTTTTTTCCACAGGATGTCCTCGTGAAGAGGGATATTTACTCATCATTATTGGAGTTATCCTTGGTATTGTTGCTATTGGGGCTGCGTTGCTTTTAATTTGGAAATTGCTTGCAACTATACAGGTAATTCATGACTCTCTTAAATGAATCTACTCTTTTTGTTTCTTGTGTTGCGCAGTCAGGTAAGATATTTGTTTGTGATTTTGCTCTGAGTGTGGCCACACCGGGCAAGCTGAAAGGCTTTTGCTTGAACTTTTTCACGGATTCGATTCCCACCGCGATCAAGCAAACTGTGGATACACTCAGAGCAACATCACAAACATAATCTACTCTTGTTACAGCATTTCAGATATGCTTGAAAGGCGATTGAGCTTTAGATTGGTTCCTGATTATATCTAGACGTTTTTCACTAGAAGAGATATCAACCAACATGTTTTCATACATTATTCTTGTTCTCCGTATTAGACGTATCCCATATTACCTAATCTCATTCAAGAGTTATTTTTCCCGTTGGCATAAGTGTTTATGAAGTGAAATTTTGTCGTATTTTTTATTGCATAACTTGAAAGTATGTTCAAAAAAGTGACGAATGGCCTTACAGTTTATTCATGTCATTCCCAAGTTATGAGGCATTATGACGTCACTGCTTGTATTTGAGATGGTAGCCGGCAAAAGGAAGAAAGTCTATTATCTCCGAGGTGATATTTCGTATAATTAGTAAGTGCACTTCAGCAAGCATTGTTGTATGTCTATATGGTTATCATGACAACCGACTAGTTACCAGGTCTCTCTCGTTCGTTTAATAGCCCAAACCATGGCTCAAACTATGTTAGAACTATAAAGAACTATATTAGTAAATGAAAATTGCAAAAATTGTATTACATATCGTTGAAAGCAAGGCATTAGGCAAATGGAAGAGAGGGACCTGGTAGCTAGTTTGTTGCCATGACAACGATATAAACACCGAAATGTTTGGCTAAGTGCACTTACTAAACGTACCTGATTTCATTTCATTTTGTTGAAGCACCTCTGAGATATTAGACTTTCTCCTGTTTGCTCGAATTCCATCTCAAGCGCAACCAGTGACGTCATAACTCAAAATACAAAAAGTGCTATAACTTGGGAATGAGATATGAATAAATGTGACCGCTATAATGCGCCATTCTTCATTATTTTAAACATACCTTTCAGTGATGCGACAAAAATATGGGCAAAATTTCGTTTCATAAACACTTTCACAAGCACAAATGCAAGCATTAGCACAAGAACGTTTACATGACTAGAATAAGCGACATACGCACAAATGTATTACATACCCAAATGTATTTATCACACGGGTGAGATAAGCACAAGGAAAGGAAAAGTTTATTTTTCCTTGTGCTTATGCTTATTTCAGTTCACACTTGAATATCTTGTGCTTATCCTTGTATTTTAATATTTCATTGTGTGAACCAAGCTTATTATTATATAATGATACTAATTTTCAAGTATGTCATTTAGGATCGTCGTGAGTTCGCCAAGTTTGAACGTGAACAACAGACTGCACGTTGGGATACAAGTGAAAACCCCATCTTCAAGCAAGCTACAACAACATTCCAAAACCCAACATATGGTGGAAAGGGCTAAATCAATGTATCTTTGTATCAATGTGCTAATTGATAGGATTTTATTCAACAAATAGACTTGAATGTGCGCGAAGACGTTCTATACCCGTAGTTTCAATTTGAGTAATAGCATCTGACAGTATCGACAAGGGACATTGAGTGTTTTACAAACAGCGCAGATTGCTTCTCACTTAAGTATATATATATGTATGAATGCGTTGTAATAATACATATAGGAGTTTTAGGGTAGATTTTTAACATTTTATAGTTTTGTAATAAGTGAAAAGCAAACAAGTATGTCGGTGTTTTTTTACTTCCGTTTTGTCTGATGATTTACGCATCAGTTACTTGCCCTCCCTGACTCGTCCCCAGTGTCCCATGTCCCATACTGCGTTGAATGATGGAACATTCTCCATTGACTTTTGCGTCCCATTGTTCTTACCCGCAAGCACCTACAAATTTGCGCCTGGATCTTAATTTTTTAAAGCAAATTTGAGGGTCCGTGGAAGAGTCGGGTTTTGGGCAGGACGCGTTTATATACACAAATTCAAATCTCGATTCGTCAATTAACGCACGTTTACACGCTGCGATTTGTTGGCTAAATGTTGGGCCTGATAGTTGATGATGTCGCTACGAACCCTGCGCAACTCGTACGTCATAAAGTCGGGAGTGGCCGAAATCGTAGATCACCTGGGAAATTCTACCGTACCCTATATTAATCACTGAGCTGAACACATGTCAAAATACGCTATAGAATTATACTAGATTACAAAGTGCAAAATAACCAATATCTGACAAATACGAAATAAACGTTTTCTGACGGTCTTTGAAATCCTTGAAAGTCTTTAAATTTGAATGCAGGTCTTTAAGGTCTTTGAAAAGTCTTTGAATTGTGCGAAAAAGCGAAGAAAGTCTTTAAAAGTCTTTAAATTCTTTAGTGAGTATTTGATTATACGATTCCCTAGCTAATAAAATAGATTGATTGAAGCAAGATTTTCGCAAATATCGACGAAAAGGGGCATTTTAGGATGTGATTTGACGGGACTAATTTTTGGGTAAAAATGTTTCTTACACTTGCAATTGTTGACAGCTGATTGCTCTCAAAGATCTTTGAAAAGTCTTTGAAAATAGGCAGTAAAAATCTTTGAATTTTTTTGGTCTTGGAGAACTACGAACCCTGTTGCGTCATTTTGTTTGGCAATTTTCATTGCTGTCTGTATGTTCACTCATTATTAACCCGTACACGTTTTTTGCAAATATGCAGAGTGCAGACATCATGGAAAGGAAATTACTAAATTACTAAGCAAAATGACAACACCCATAACCTCTCAAATTTGTAAGAGTAGGTTCAAATATTAATAGTCTGCCATGCATATTTCCGTTACCAAGTATCATTAAGAGATCTAGATATCGCCGTGTGACTCTTTAGATTGACGTTTACGGCAAACGTCAAACCGCTAGCGAGGTTTGTACAACTCTATTATAATAGCTTTTACACCAGTTTTGAAATATGTTAAACTTATTAAACTTGTGCTCTTTAGCAATGATTTAAGAAAGCAAATTAACCACTAGTCATGCTATTCACCAAAGCAGTAAATTAAGATTTGGCGTTTGAAGTTGACGTTTGGCATATAAATTTCATGCTTGAACTGCTACGAGGGTTTGTAGTCGTTAAGTTAAAGCATGAAATTTATACGCCAAACGTAAACTTCAAACGCTAAATCTTAATTTACTGCTTTGGTGAATACGTGACGAGTGGTTAATTTGTTTTCTTGAATTATTGTTAAATACCACAAGTTTAATAATTGCTTAATTAATATATTTCAAAACTGGTGTAAAAGCTGTTATAATAGAGTTGTAAAATCACAAACTTCGTTAGCGGTTTGATGTTTGCCGTAAACGTCAATTATGACTCTCTAATTAATAGCTGACGGCGACGTCCTTTGTACATTAAATCTCAAACCGCGCAGCAAGCTCGGTTAATCAGTATCCGCAGGCATCTCATGGGGCACCTGGATTGCTGTGGTTAGGTTTAGGCGTCATTAGATTTCTTTGCCCGCAAGCAAATGAAATTTGGCCATCGAAGGCGATGCCTGTGGAGAGGCCATGTTTATTCGACGAAATATCGGACACAAAAATTATTAAACTGACACAAAAAATGATGGTTAGATTGTTTATTTAACTTGGCATAAAAATGATGGTTACATTGTTTATTTTATTATCACGTGTTACAAAATAGTAAAAAATGTGCATCCAATTCTAAAGAACTAGTGCAAAAATAGTCAAAGTATTAGTAGTCATTAATAATTAGGTATTGTAAGTGTTCATTATACGGGTTCCACGGCTTCTTCAAAGTGCTACATAACCCTATAAAACAATATATTGATGTGAGCCAGAGAGACAACATAACTTACTACAATGGGTTTTTCAAAATGACATTACAAGTTAAAAACACAGAATAGAGACCTTACGATTTTAGGACGGCAACGCCGACGACGGCCAAAAAACTCCAAATAAATCGTAGTAAAGATAATTCGTCGTATATTATTAATCGTATGAATGTAATACCGTCTTAGAAGTTGAAGACATAGCTTTTATGGTTGGGAAGAGTTCCACTGAACCCAGTTTGAAGTTGCACTTGTTGTGGCTTGAAATGCAGCCGTTCTATCATGACATGAAAATCTGTGATTTGGCGTTGTTATTTTATTATTCATATATTGTAATTTTTCAATTCTTTATTGTATTGGTAGCCGTTGCCGTCCAAATAGTAAGGCCTCTAATATAGGGATTAAAAAACTTGTTCAAGCTCACCATGTTCAGATTTTCCCAGATATTTTTTAAAGACCTTTAAACCTTTCAGAGGTCTCTTGAGACGGTTTTAGAAATATTATGATTTATGGTATTACGGGATTTTGATGGAATTTGTAGCGTGCATGTTGGAAGCGTCATGTTATATTTCTTATTAAGGTCAAGTGATAGTGATCTGTTGCAATCTCGTTTGCCCAACTCTAACCTGCGAACGGGCATGCTCTGGGTACGAGACTGTGCTTGGGGAATTCATATTTGTCAAGAATAATTCTTTAAAAATCAGCAAGTTGTGAGTTTTAGGGAACGTGTAAAGAGTGTTTTATACATTTCCGAGAAGCGCACGAGATACTTTGGAGTGATACACTACCCGCTATATAGCTCTAAGTAACTTACTTCTTGTCCATTACTAATGCTGCTCTTTCCACCCATGCTTGATTGCTCAGTATGAGATTTAGTTTCATGGAACATTGGATTGACTTTGTAAGATTCCATTCTCGAATGAGCTGGGCTGGTTGTGTATACAGCATGTTCGCGTGCACCATTGCCTGTTGGAGACATCTCTATATCTGGGTTCACGATACCCACAGATTCATTATTAAAGAAATATCTATTTCTATCACTGACCAGAGTTGTATTCTCCACCATGTACCTACAGTAGAATAAAAAATTGGAATCAATTTGTCCAGTCATATGACGAGGGACTGTAATTCCGACCTATTGAGGACCTTGGATAACACTTAGCATAATCCTTTCATTGTTTTCAAAATCCCACTATTCTCAATTTCATCCAGTCACGTGACGTATTTGTGAGGTTATCAGCGAAGGCCCTTTCTTGCCTTTTCAGAGAAGAACATGTTGATCAATTTGGTTCTACGACAACGTTTCAGATTTCGTTAACACGAGACCAGAGGAATTCGGAACCGCAGTACCGTACACAAATTCGTTCGGTTCCACTTGATCATACGGTAATTCGTACGGTTATCCGTATTCCTCCGGTTTCATGTATCTGGTATGAGCAAACGAAATATTTCGTCAAATTGTACAAATTAAAGTATGTTTCCGAAATCTGGTAAAAAATGTGGCAGTTTTGAAGCATCGTTAAATGTTTTGAAGAGTTGTGGATGGATATAGAATTTATAGAGGAACTGCCTCGGCATCACATCTATTGGTATCCTCAAACAAATTAACATACTTGTTTTCCTCGGCATTTTCTAAGCAGCATAAGAACAGGATGATCATGGCAATAATCAAGAAAGCGATACCGAATACGATAGCATAGACCAGCCACCAAAGGTCATCTGGAAAACATAACGTAATGAAGTTAGATATTTCCTTATCCAGAGTAATCCATATTCAAGTATATTTAATTTCCTCAATTTAGTAATTTCATATTGGTGAATAGACTTGCTCCAAGTCGACCTCCACCGAGCAAAAGCAAAACAAGACGAGAGCGAGCTGCGAGCGACAAGTAGGCTCGATTACCAGCCGTGACTCAAGTCGGACCCTCGACGAAGTCGCAAGCGGGAGGTCGACTTGTCTCGCTAGCATGTTTTTCATTTGCGTTTCGCGCCAAAACTGCAGAAGAATATTAACACAGGGCGAGAGTTTGCTAATAGAGTATGCCTGAGTACAGATTTATTTCGGCTGCTCCTCATCTATATTAATACATGAATAAGTGCGTAATCAATGGGGCGACTACAATATATACATCGGGACGTTAGCAGGTTAAGTCATGTTATACATTTTCAAGTTCCTGTCGGCGCCGAAACGAAAAAGACTTCAAGCGTCTGTCATTAATAATCTTTTAATTCTGAGTAGCCAGCAGACTGGCTTGCTTTTCCAACAGCCTTCTGCATATTTACCAATCTCGTACCCAGAGCCATCGTTCAACGAAAATATCGGTCGGTCACGGACATTGTCCGACCCATTCGTGAAATTGTCCGACGTAGAGAGGAAACCACCGGACATTCTGTCCGACCTAAGTGAAACTGAGGTTTATTGTTTGTCTGACCTAAGTGTATTTGTGTCCGACCGAACTGTAGCTTTGTCCATCGTAAATCAAAATGTATCCTAGTCCAGGACTAGAGGCTTGTATATGTTAAATGGAAAATCAGAATACTATTGTATAGAAGGTGAACTGGAGATATTGTTTTAACGTAGTCGAGCGCGGGGTGGCGAGCGAAATGGTGAAGTGGAAAACGGGCTTAAGTCTTTTTAATACTGTTGTTCTGGAAAGCAACTTAATTTTGGCTTGGAAATAAGTATGAAAGAAACACATTACTTAATATCTTCACAGCATTTACCGTTCAGAATTAATACATTGTGCTGATATTCATTTGTGTCATTCAGACTTATTTCCGAGTCAAAACTGAACTGAAGGTCATCGGACATATGTCCGACCCAAACTCAACGTCATCGGACATTTTGTCAGACGGCCCTTTAAATGATATTTTAAGGCCTGCGGTACGAGATTGCATATTTACATTATGTAAAGTTTTAAACACGAAACTTCTAATTATAGGTATTAAAATATGAAATAATAACCGAGTACGACACTTTAATTGACATTTTGCTTATTACGTTTCCCGAGAGATCATCAACGAAGAGATCATCAACGAATCGATCACGTATTATATATAGATCAGCATTACCGACTCGTTTTTGGGTCGGTAAAATATGCTACAAATTGGAAAAGTCCTTACTCTTTTGTAAAGTACTTCCTCGAAAATTCTTTCGGTTTGAAGTAAAGACGAAGGACTTTGCGAAAGTCTAATTGGTGAATTGCTAGAAGGTTTGACGCGTTAATAAAGTTATAAAGATAGCTATGATGATGACGATAATTACGGTGATGATAATGATGGTGATATATAATGACGATGACGACAGTGATGATAATAATGGTGATGATAGTGACGATGATGACGATAACTATGGTGATGATAATGATGATGATATATAATGACGATGACGATAGTGATGATAATGATGGTGATGTTAGTGACGATGACGATAATTATGGTGATGATAATGATGGTGATATATAATGACGATAGTGATGATAATGATGATGATGATAGTGACGATGATGACGATAATTATGGTGATGATAATGATGGTGATATATAATGACGATAGTGATGATAATGATGGTGATGATAGTGACGACGATGACGATAATTATGGTGATGATAATGATGGTGATATATAATGACGATAGTGATGATAATGATGATGATGATAGTGACGATGATGACGATAATTATGGTGATGATAATGATGGTGATATATAATGACGATAGTGATGATAATGATGGTGATGATAGTGACGATGATTATGATGATGATAATGATAGTGATATATAATGACGATGAAGATAGTGATGATAATGATGGTGATGATGATAGTGACAATGATGACGATAGTGGTGATAGTGATCTAATTTTCCTTGCAAATTATTATTAATAAAAATAAAAAGACTAGCACTTGTAATAAATCAGATATACAGCACTTTAACCACGTCTGTGCTCACCTTTTGTTGGATTCGGTTCTTGCGTAATCGGAACGGCTAAATAAAAAATAAAAAAATGTGGTTACAATATGAAATTACCGTTTAGTATCAGAAAATCAGGATCTTTTCTTTACGACAATCGAATCCTTTCTAATGCTCAACTCTTTTTGTGTCCACCGACGATCGTTGAAAGCCTTTTGTAAAGAAGCTTCGAAGGGTTACCAGAACGGGGCAAACGTCAACGGAATCTTCAAATGAGGTTGGAATGATTGTAGGAAACATTGTAATTTTTAAAGGTTTCAACAACAATGCTTCTTAGTTTGTTCGGGGTTTGGATTACCTGTACACGTGGCTCCATTTCCATAATAACCTTCTTTGCAAACACAGGTGTAGGTACTTAAGACATTTGTACAGTTCGCGTTCTCATGACAATCTGGTATATGGATCAGATTTGAAGGGTTGCATTCATCGTAATCTAAAAGAACGAGCATTAAAATTTAAAACATTTTCTACTGTATATACAAATCCAGGTTTTGTTCTGTGCAGAATATCGGAGAGGTTCAAATGTGACTTCCACTGCCACTACCTCCCATTGGCTTAGTAGGTCTTAGTACGCATCTGATTGGTTAATCGGATATCTCAAACGCACCTGATTGGTTAATGACCCTGAATGGTAGCGGTAACTGTGGTAAAAGTCAAATCTGAACCTCGCTAATATGCATTCGAACACAACACAACACAACACAACACGTTATAAAAATATTACCTGCAGCTTGTCTAAATCGTGAAGTATTGATGCTATATGGTCCCAGGAACGCACCATTACTTGTTCTATTCAGCGTATTCTCCAAATTTTCAAATAATGAGTTACCATTTTCTGTCACATTTGTGTTAGGTTTGAAGAACACCAGATACCTTATAATAACGGATCCCGCTCTAGAGAAACACAGCAATAAACATAATTATTCCTTGTTCTACCCCATGTTCTTTAATAAACCAACAAATACTGCTCTCGAGTATGCAACACCACCAGCATCGTCAATGACTTTGAGCGTTCAAATGAAACGTTTTGAAGTCGTGAGATGCATGTTATTAAGCGCCATAAACCATTTGAAGAATTACTGGAGCGTAGCATTACACAACACATAACCTCGACTCCATTCTTTTGAAAACAGATAGAAACCTCAAACTTTAATTACGTAAGACTGAATAAATTCCAAAGAAATCAATACACGAAGTTGGACTATGTGTTTATAATGCTATTGCGTGCTATCCAGTAATTCTGCAAATGTGTAAAGGGCCGGGATGTTTATAGTGGGCATGAAAAGCGAAATATATAGTGCTGTTATTAATTGTCAAAAAAGAGGAGGGGAATATATAACATAATAATACAGAAACTTACAGATAACAATCAAGACGGCAAAAATATAAGCGACTAATGATAGATAAGTAAACCGTACGCTTCGTGACAGAAGATAGTTTTTTATTTTTCTTGGACGTAGGAAGAATAAACCTGAAGGACTCTTCAAAGACTTTCAAGGCCAAAAATCTTGAAATTCAAGGACTGAATTGGGAAAAGAAGGCATAGTGACGTTAAACTGTTCAAATGGCAACATTAACGAATTTCAAACAGCTCTGATAAAATCGAAGACATGAACAAAATCGATTCAACAAAATCCCCTTTTTTATGCGAAACAATTTCAGAACATAACCAAAAACTAAGGCATGAAGAATTTAAGAACTTTCAAGCACTTTTTTGTAAATTCAAGGACTCTCAAGTATTTTACGAACCGTGAGCAGAGGACTGATGATTTTCTTCGGTTTCTGAGGATGAAGTTCGGAGGATTATTCTTGAATCTTCGAATGCCTCCAGTAAGTTGGACCCTATTCCTACATCATTGGTTAAACTCTGTTGTCATGAATTGGCCCCAATCATCGCTGAAATCATTAATCTCTCTTT